TTAATTCCAGCAAAGTGTACACGTGCGATTTAGTATTCTCGAATTAACAACGACTACGCAAGTAGTAAAAAATTTATATATTTTGCTTTTCAAAATTTATATTAAATAAATGCAGCGGTATATAAAATATAAAATTGTTGTTTTTGGTGGTTTAAAAAATTCAATTTATTTACGGATATGAATTATTGGTTAAACATAATTATCTACTACAAGATAAATTTTATAAATTTTATAAATTTAATTCTTTTTTTCTGACCGATTTCTAGCCAATAATCTGTTATCATTTTATCATTTATTTAGTTCAACTTTTTCTTCGGAAATATTTTTTTTTCCCGCAGTATCGCAGTAAATCAAAAAAATAATTGCAAAAAGTAAAATTTATCATTTTTTTTAGTTGAATTTTTCATTGTAACATCAAATATGAATTATAGCAATAATTGTTTGTATGAAAAATTGGTAAGAAATGAATTATTTTTTTTCAGAAAATTTATTTATTTTTTTTTTTTAAGCGACATTTACTACTGTATTTACGAAATAGCATATCGTGATTGGGTAAAAATAGTTTTTGTATAAATTGTCTGAAGTTAGGAATCTCAATTTAAAAACACCCGAAGATCCAACTTCAGGCGAAAATCATTTTCAGTCACAACAAAGCGATCGGACATTTCGGGTCGGTTATGTTAAGGAAGAAGTTGAGGGGGAGTAATTTAACCAAACATTATGCTAATTTACTGACCCGAAGATTTTTGTAAATATGTAATAACGGAAGAGTGAGGTTATCGACAAACTAATAATATTGAGAATGTGTGTTTAAAGCTTTGAATGCTTATACTTCAACCAGAGAAAATGGTTTGAATAATCCGATTTATCGACCTTTTACGAATTATAATTTTGGGTAAAAAATATATAATTTATATTTATTTATTTATTTATTGTTTTAGGAAGTAAAAGGCAAAAATTGGTTTATTTAACCATTCTGGTTTTTTTTTTTTCGGGTTCGATTAATTTATTAAATAGGCAAACACGTTCCCATTTTCTTTTTCTTATTTCTTATTTTATTTTTTTTTGATTATTTGGTTTCACCACTACAATTACGGGTTGAGTTGCGTTGATAAAGTATTTTCTTATTAATTCAATTTTAGTTTATTTCATATCCTTATTTATATTTTCTTATAAGGACTCCTCTTTTCGGGTTCGGTTGTTTCCAATGTGTCCATCGATTAATTAGTAAAATGCCATTTTCCCGTATCTTGATTTCTAGAAAGTTATTCATGAAAATTTTCAAAACTAATTTAAAAAAGTTATATGGGAAAATGTCCGTTCGGGATATCAGTATTCGGATAATGTCCAATCGAGATATCAAGTATTTGGATATGAGTATTTGGGATTCGGGAAATAGGAATTCGAGAAATCAATGATAGCTTTCGGGATGTTTATGATTTCAGGAAAGTGTCCAGTACGGGAACTCGAGTTTGGAAAATTGGCTTTGGAAAATGTATATTCAGAAAGTCGAACGTTCAGAGGCTTGCCACTAGTATTGGATTTGACCGTTCCGCTTACAAACTGATAATTAGTACAAGTTATATGTAATAAAAAAAAATACAGGGTGAAAAGGAAATTCTAGTCTAAATATCTTGAAAAATCATAAAACTTTACTTACACAAATTAGCAAAGGTACCTTGCAATAAATTCATTTCATTTTGCATGTGCCAAAATTTACTGCTGTCTTCGATGTTAGGTCTCACGTTTCTGACATTTCGAACCTGAAATTTTCTCCCTTTCAATCATAAGTATTTGATCTAGAAATCATATCCCTAATTAATTGATCTTTTACCAAAGAATTTAAATTTCGTTTTGATAGTTTTAAATTTTGTAATTGATCGTATCTTACTTCCTACTAACACATGACTTTCATTTGACTAGAATTGTTTAAAAATTGCAAAAAAAATTTAATATAATTATTTTAACGTTTATCATTATTTTATTTATTATATTTATTATCTTTACTTTATTTAATATCTCTTTCTTATATCTGTATTTTATATAAATATCCTGTATTGTCGTCTTAGAAAAAGTAACAAGTTTCTAACTTACAAGCGAATAAAGTATAATCTTAACAATATAAAAACTCATATCTTTGCTAATATCTTTTCCTTAAACATAAATCATCAATAAAGACGACCTGACCCTTCAATATAATTCAATTCGTGTTTATTTCTTTCATAGTTTATAAATTAAACTCCTTGTTAGAAAATAGGCTTTGTTATCATAACGACGTAGGAGTAAGACTTTATGTGACTCAAATGCCTTTAAAATAACTGTCAATTTTAGCAAAATAATTTCTAAACTTACCGTCATAATAAAGAAATATGCTAGAAACATGATGATGACAAGCCTTTATATTTCACCATGATATGACGAGATCGTTTTGGTTGTTCATCCAAAAAAACTTTTGTAAAGTATAACTTAAATTAAAGTGATCAAGCTTTATAGATCACGAAATCGAGTATACATACTTTTGATACATATTTATAAAAAAAAGATGCGATTTTATTAAGCGAATGATCAATAAATAAAATTTGTGTTACATAAATCTAAATTCATAAACGAATGCAACGTGTATGGATCTTTTAAATTTTGTCTTTTCATGCTTTGCATCAAAAATAAACAACTATACTGTTCAAATTTTATGTATTTAAAAAGAAATTAACCGAATAATATAGTTTTGTAAATTTCTAATTTGATTAATATATTTTATATAAATGCAAAAATTTTAATTAATTTTGCTATTATTACATTAATAAATTAAGTTGCTATTTTATAAATTTTTCTTAAACTTTACACCTGATTTTTTAATTATTGCCATTCTGTTCAAAGCAAATCCAAAGATATGTAAATTTATCTGACAATGAATTAATTAATCTAACTAAATACATAAATATTCAATACCGGTATGGATTTGAAATTGAAAATTCCATACCGGTATTGTTTTTGTGGCGAATAACCATACATGTATGATAGAAATCATACCGGTATGGAAATACATACATAAATGATTGGAACCATACATCCCATGCATAAAAATCCATACCAAACATGATTTAATAACACTTCCTTGTAATTTGGTTGGTCTCCGATTTGACACATGCTCATTTGATTATTTAGTTATTTAGTCATAGCATCGAAAATCTTAAAAGACCAGTTCGTTGCCTTTAAATTTTTTAGATAATTCAGTTGAATTTCTTCACAAATCGATTTGGAATTGACAGAATTTTTACTTGAGGTAATTTTTGTTTATGCGTTAGTAGCTTTTATATTAAAATTAAATCAACTAACTGATTTTCATTTATTTTTTTTACTAAAGGATTCTGTATTTATTCATGTGAAATTGTGGAATTCATAGTTTTTCCATTATCAAACACTAATTATGAAATAAACGGATCTATCGAAAAGATAAAAAACAAAACTCAATAAAATCCAAAAAAAAAGGTCAAATGAAAAAAAGCATAAAGGATCCAACAAATTAAATAAATTTGATTATTAAAAATAAAAATTGAAATAAAGAAATTTTTTATTACTTGGAATCTGAAAAGCCTTATCTATTTATAATCAAATCATTATAAAGTATGTTCAAAAAAAAATCCAAATCTTTAATTATACATCCTATTAGAGTTTTTGAATTGATGTTCTCTTTATATAGCTATCCAAAAAGATTAATGTTAAGGATCATATATACATTTGAAAATTTTCTAGAAACCTCCTCTCACCTTACTTTGTTCATTATTCTCTGTGATTTACTTTTTGCTTTCTCGCTTGCAATTGAAATATCAGTAACAGATCCAGCATTGTAAAATTCATAGCTGAAATAGCTTAATCCTTGGTTTACTGTCAAGTACGTGGACGAGAGTTCTTGTACATGCAAACTTTCTGCAAGAAAAATCACGAAAGGCTCAACGATTTTAGCTCATGTAGATTCATTGGATTTTTTCTTGAATTTAATTTTCTCTTGAACTCGATCACCCTCCTATTATTAAAATATCAATAAATCACATTATTTATTCAGTTTATATTCATCAAAATAAAAATATTACCAAGCCTTTAAAATATCGCAGAAGACATTTTACGTTCAACTTTTCTGGGATGACGATTGATATCAGTGGCTAATATTGTACTCAATAATTGAGTTTACCTATCCAAGTAATTATAATCAAAATAATTTTCATCAGCTAGTCGAAAAGATATTGCATGCGAGTAAATATTAAAAATTATAACCTCATCGTCGTGTTCCTGTACCCACTCTTATTCTTTTACCAATTCCAAAAGTTTACATTACATCAATGTAATGTCTACAACGCTAACTATTTTCACTTGGACTCAAGTTGTTAGGAGATCAAATCGTCTCTAGTCATGTCATTACTTTCTTTGAATCTTCTCAAGATTAGCACAAAGAAGCCATAAATATTAAAGAACTTGTTAAAGTAGTCCAACCATTGACAGCATTAACGAATTTTCTTTCTGTTAGTAATGTATAATTACTTCTGAAAAACAATTTAAAATTTCAGATTGTGATCCTACAATAAAATAGACAAAAGCCAAAGTATTTATGAACTATTATATGAAATTTAAAATATATAGATGTATAATGTATAATATTCCATTCTTACTTCTGGGCTTCCAATTTCTATAGAAGGAGTTTAATTATAGTATATCTCAAAGGGACAAAACATAATGATACATTGTTTCTTGATCCTCGCTGAAGTAACTTCATTACTTAAAAAAAAGCGAACTTATATTTATGTATGTATATACCATCGGCAACAAACTACTAATGTCTTTATTAATGGACCGATTCAACATGTCAAGCAGGATATCTCTTCGTGAATAAAGGATATCCGCAGAATATTTGTGAGAAAGGAGACGAATCAATATGGTCAAGGCGGTTTATCAAGTACTAATGCAAAATAATAAAATATTAGAAGGCTTCATTAATAATTAATAACTTTCTTATTTCTACCTTGTACGTTTCTCATAAAAGTTTCAATGTTTAGTGCAATACTTTGTCCTCACAATTAACAACTTCTTCTAGAATCAAGCTATCGCACCCTAAGCGTCGTTCTCGGCAATATTCTGACGACTACTTGGGAGTTCAAGAATGTTAGTAGAGGTTATGGGTTGCTTTTGTCAGGTCTGGGAAGTAAGAGAAACGTCTTTCTTGTTTAAATTTTGTGATTACTTAAGTATAGCGTTGTAGTTATATATATAACCTGTTTTGAGTATCTTGATCAATTTGATTTTGATAATAGATAAAAGTAATAATAAAATGGATGAGGTAAAGGCAAAGTTTAAAAAAAAAACAAGGAATATTTAAATAAAACAAGATACAAAACATTAATAAAGGAAATGCATAAAAATGATAAATTGATTTGAAAAACTTACCGATATGCTTCCTGAGATCAGAGCATCGCTAGTTATTGCGATCTTTTACCGAAGCTCACATAGAAACCATCATTGAAATCTATAATAGTAAAATTTAAATATTTAATTATCTAATCCAAATAACGTCCACTTTAAAATTAACTAATTATCGTCATTAATTCCATGTCCTGTATAATATCAACCCAAAACAACAGCAAATAAAAAGTTTACATCAGTATCTCTCGGGTTGTCGAGCAAGGATATAACGCTTAATATTCGTCTGTACTGTATTCATGAAGGTACTGTATGACAATTTTACGGTTTGGTCTTATTTAATGAATTCCCAACTTTATAAAAACATTCGAAATAAAAACCACATATACTGTACATAACATATTATTTTATTGTTAAAAAAAAAAAAAGGTAAAATCAGTCAATAATTAATTTATTATTAAATCACGTGAAGTCAACAATTTAAAATAAATAATTATTGAGTATTTCGTGGTGGGATATTACGTGAGATTTCCTAGCCATAACGTGCAATATGTTGAATTTCTGTTATCCATTGAGAATGATTCCTCTTGTAATAAGCCGATGGCCAGCTATTATACATGGATGGTTGAATCGTTCCGGCTATTGGGTGTTTCCATGTCGAACCAGTTGTAGTTATCAACTTTGTGGGTCTAGGGGGTTGGCTATATCACACCTAAGTGCCTAATTTCTCCAGAGCGCGGGAGTAAGCTTTAACTACCTGATTCATGACCTTGAAGGTAAAGTGTCAGCAGTAATTCCAATATCAACTCAAAATATTTTTATTTTTTTAATTTAAAAGATTCATCTTCTATTAAAAAAAATTTACGATAAAATTTTTTATTTGCTTCAGCTGAAACTATATCTTTCCATTGTAAAAGAAATGAAAAAATTGTAATACTATATATTACTAAATAAGGATTGCGTTATTAAACATACCAACATATCAAAGTATTTTAATTATTCGATCGCTGCATCTGAAATGATTAACCTTATATAAAATAAAAACTAGGGTGCGGGGACCGTTGTTAAGTCCGGAACGATAACTAAAAAAAAAAATTATTGCAAAAGTCAATTAGCTTCGACTCAATTATTGAGCGGGGACACTTTGAATAGAAATATATAGTCCTTCATTTCGTTCCGGACTAATAAATGATAAAATAATAAAATACAAATTTATCTTCATCTTCAGAATAGTATTCGATATCTTTACATTGTGAAATTAAAAAATTTTTTCCCGTAAAAATTCTTGTATCACATAAAAATAAACATTATCATTTTTATTTTTGGATGAGTATAAAAAGAAATTTAAATTTTAAACTTTAAAAATTGATAATATTCGAATAAAAATTTGATTTTAAATATAATTTGATTTTTTGTTTTTGTGACTTTATAGCAGAACTTTCACTTTTCAATAAAAAGGACTGTCTTAAAAAATGATATACAAATTAAAATAAACATCGTTAATTTCGAATGAATAATCAAAGCATAAGCTCATTGCCGCCGGAATATCAAGCTTAGTGTGATTAGAATTCAGATATATAGAAATGAATATCGAATCATAAATAGATCAAGCCAATTTTCGCGAATATTGTTGATATCATAACCAGAATGGAAAACCACTACAAAAATGACCAAACACTTGTCAAGTTCGTGTTGAACTTTTTAGCACGTGGGAGGTGAGGAAATGAATGCAAGGTTTTTGTTTCGTTTGTTTTTTTTGTAAAAAAAAAAAAAAAATTTCATTATTAATCTTGTGTAAATTAATTCATTTAAATTTTAGCGGGAAAAAATCATCGAATTTCTTGAAAATGAATTTGGGCTTTTAAATCACAAATATAAGTGTCTATACTTAGAGATTACATATGGTAGATCAATTTAGCTGCTCCGAAGTTACGTTATAGTTGAGAAACAAAATTTCTCTTCCAAATCATGAATTAAAAGCATATTTATACAGAGTTGTTAGCATAATAAAAGCGAAAGGTTTTGATTTTCCAAATAATTTTTTGACGATCATACTAATCAAAATTCCAATTTATGGTTAGGTCTATTACTAGACGTTTCTGTCATTATGCTTTATGCAATCAGCTTAATATATAGAAAAAAAAAAATTATTTTTTGTTTTTTCAAAACTTTTCGAAGATAATTTTGAAAATTACGACGGATTTCGATGGTTGAGATTTATTTCAATTTAATAAATTTGCAAAAGTTAACAGTTTAATTTGTTATTATTTAATATTTTATTAAATATTTTATTTTAGGTAATTAGACGCCTCTTGCCACATAAGTTTTATTTTTAATTTATCTTATTAATAGAAATTTTTTTTTTTGGTAATTTCTTTCAGGTTGAGTCGCAAGGTAGAATTTTTCTTATTCTTACTATTATTATTGGATTGCTTCGAGGCACAGTGACTGAATGATTTCTTTTTTTAAAAAAATTTTGCGCTCTTTTAGGTTCTTCTCTTCCAAAAGTTTTGTTAGTCGGGATATGGTAGAAGTGGAGATGGATCTGCCTCAGGCCTCTCTAGTTAAAAATGTAATAAATGTTTAGTCATCTTTTGTACGATATAAAATTTAATAAATAAAACGTTCGTACATTCTTACGACATATCCGATTGTTGGATATCGCAAAATTTTTTTATAACAGACGAGAAATCAAAACTTATTATCATATATAGTTTTAAAATTTGATAATAATACAATGTTTTCTCATTTTCCCACAACTTGTTAATAATGTAATTTATTTACAAAAAAAGGAATGTCTATTTTTTTGTTTTTACGGAAAATCCAAGGAAAGTAGTGTTAAGGAATTTTATTAATGCGGGTTCTACTTTTACGTCTTTTTTTCCTCATTAAACTTCGTCTCCTTTAATTACTTTCACTCTTTAAGTTTCCTTTTTAGATCATCTAAGATTTATACTTTTTTCTTTTTCAAGCTTTTACAAGATTTATACATACCAT